CCCTCATGTCTCGATTCAGGAACACCAATCGAGTCAAGGTCGGGAATAAAGTCAACACAGAACTCAATGACCTCTTCTGTTCCATAGCCCTTGGCGATGCTTCCTTCTGGGCGAGCACGGTTATGAACATATTTCTTCAGGACTCCTATGAATCTCTCTAAGGGGAACATGTTGTGTAGGAACACAGGACCGAGAATGAAAATCTCCTTGACTAGGTGAACTAGGAGGTGTGTCATGATATCAAAGAAGGAAGGAGGGAACACCAACTCAAAGCTGACGAGACATTGAACCACATCATTCTATAGTTTAGCTAGATCAGTTGGATCAATTGCCTTCTGAGAAATTGCATTGAGGAATGCACATAGCTTCATGGTGGCTAGACGTACATTTGGAGGTAGAATTCCTCTTAATGCAACTGGAAGTAATTGCGTCATGAGAACGTGACAGTCATGGGACTTTAAGTTACAGAATTTCTTCTCTGGCACATTTATAATACCCTTTATATTCGAGGAGAATCCAGATGGTACCTTGATGTTGTTTAAGCATTCAAACATGATTTTCTTCTCCTCTTTGCTTAGAGTGTAGCTGGCAGGATGTAAGTAATGGCGTCCATCATGTGTCTTCTCTGGATGCAGGTTGTCTCTTTCTCTCAAACAACGCAGGTCCTGTCGTGCTTCAAATGTGTCCTTAGGCTTTCCATACACACCCATGAAGCCTAGCATGTTTACACAAAGATTCTTCGTCAAGTGCATCACATCGATCGAGCTGCGGACCTCTAGGACTTGCCAATAGGGTAGCTCCCAAAATATGGACTTCTTCTTCCACATGGGTGCGTGACCGTTAGCGTCGTTCGGAATAGGTTGGCTGCCATGTCCTTTTCCAAAGACGACTTTCACATCATTGACCATATCGAGTACATCCTCACCGGTTCGGTTGCGAGGCTTGGTCAGGTGGTCTGCCTTTCCTTTAAAATGCTTGCCTTTCTTTCTTACGGGGTGATTTGCAGGAAGAAATCGACGATGGCCAAGGTACATGACCTTTCGACATTTTTTCAAGAATACACCTCAAATATCACCGAAGCAGTGTGTGCATGCATTATATCCCTAGTTTGACTGTCCTGAAAGATTACTTAGAGCATGCCAATCATTGATTGTTACGAATAACAATGCTCGCAGATCAAAGTGTTTCTGTTTGTACTCATCCCACACACGTACACCTTCTTTATTCCACAAAATAAGAAGTTCGTCAATAAGTGGTCTCAGGTACACATCGATGTCATTACCAGGTTGCTTCGGGTCTTGGATGAGCACAGGCATCATAATGAACTTCCGCTTCATGCATAACCAAGGAGGAAGGTTGTAGATACTTAGAGTAACAGGCCAAGTGCTATGACTACTGTTCTGCTCTCCAAAAGGATTGATACCATCTGTACTTAAAGCAAACCTTAAGTTTCTTGCGTCATTTGCAAACTCCGGGAATTCTCTGTCGATTGCTCTCCACTGGGACCCATCAGCAGGGTGTCTCAACATATTGTCTACCTTACGGTCTTCTTTGTGCCATCGCAATAATTTTGCATGTTCTTTGTTTCTGAACAGACGTTTCAAGCGTGGTATTATAGGAGCATACCACATAACCTTGGCAGGGATTTTCTTCCGCGGACGTTCGCCCTCAACATCACCTGGGTCATCTCGCCTGATCTTATACCGCGATGCATGGCATACCGAGCATGCATCCAATTTCTCGTACTCTTTGCCACGGTAGAGGATGCAGTCATTAGGACATGCATGTATCTTCTCGATTTCTAGCCCCATAGGACAGACAACTTGTTTTGCTTCGTAGGTAGTGGCGGGCAATTCATTGTCCTTCGGAAGCATCTTCTTTTGGATTTTTAGTAACTCTCCAAATCCCTTGTCAGATACACCATTCTTTGCCTTCCATTGCAGCAATTCTAGTGTGGTTCCCAACTTTTTCTGCCCTGCATCACAAGTTGGATACAGCAATTTCTTGTGATCTTCTAGCATTCGCTCGAACTTGATCTTCTCCTTTTCACTTTTAGATTATCTTTGTGCGTCACGAATGACCTGACAAAGATCATCAGCAGACTCATCTTCTGCGGCTACCTCTTCTTCAGCTTCTCCCATTGTAATATCATTGAAGCACGCACCATCGGGAATAATATCATTGTCGTCCTATTGTTCTTCTTCACCTTCTTCCATTACAACGCCGGTTTTTCCGTGCTTCGTCCAACAAATATAGTTTGGCATGAAACCCGACTTGAACAAGTGTGAATGAAGAGTCCTTGAGTAAGGATATTCCACCGTATTCTAACATACGGCACATGGGAAGCACATGAAACCATCGCGTTTGTTTGCCTCGGCCGCACGTAACAAAGAATACACGCCGTCCATGAACTCTTGGGAGCGACGATCAGCATTGTACATCCAATGCCGACCCATCTGCATTACATGACATAAATACCGTATTAAAACCTATAACATAATTAGTTAATTATACAACATGCATACCACCACAAAAGCTATAAATTAAAGAAATCCTCGCTACAATGTAGACAATCCCAACTACCACTAAAAACACTAAAGCTAAAATGCACTTCAGTAGCACAAGGATTTCGTGACCAATCTCAACTAAAACAGACAGATCCCCCATTTGTTCAACATCTTTGGGCTTCTTTGGCTGGATCACTGCCTCATTAGCCGCCATATCTGCCTATTGTGCAAGATATTTTTGCACGAGTTTAACATACTCTTCCTCCCAGTAGAAGCATGAACATCTAGTGCATCCCACTGAAATTAAAATAGAAAATTAGAACTTTAATCACAACCATCATGAAAATAGGTATAAACTAACCATAGTCATTAAATACGATAAATAACTCACATTGCGATCCGGACACTTGTAGAAAATGTGACTCTTGTTGGGACCCTCCTTCACTCGGTACTCCATCACAATCTTCGTCTCATCACAACACTTGTCGCATGCAATGAGTGGGAGGCCCGGCCTAAGTCGCTTTGGAAACCCATGAGAGGCCGAGGACCCGGAAGCAGTTGTCATCTACTCTCTATACTCATTTTTTAATACACTATAAATTTCTCATTTTATAAACAAATAAAATTAAAAAACTCTAAAATTATCTATATCTTTAAACAATGAAATGTGCTATGCATGCTATAAATGAACGGTGAATACTAGTTTTTAATAGCTACTTTAACCTTCCTTCATGTAAATATGCAAGCTTAAAGTTTAAAGGTTTCCAGAGCGTTTAACACTACTCTGCTTGCCGAGAAAGTTGCTAGTGTTGTGTCGTTGGCATTTTTCATGGTCGTGGCCATAGTCATTGTGTTCTCGTCTTTTACGGCGGCAGGTAAGTAATTCACATGATATTTCCGCAAATTAACAGAAGAATGGAGTGTACACACATAACAATCGATTATTGTTTATATTTATATATATATACTACGTTTGGGTACGGTGATTGACAGACTACTGCGATGATATCGGGACGTGTGAATAAATAACCATCCGTACTAGTTGACCTTGCTTACGTGATTATCTCGGCGAGCATTTCTCCACCGGACGGCACCGTACTTGGCCACGGAAGAGCTCCGATTCTACGAGGAAGGGAACACGGTCTTCCACGACCGTTGCCGCTCTCCCTCGTAGAATCAAAGCTCCTCCTTGACATCCGTTACCGCTCGGCAGAGAACATGCTCGCCGAGATGAACACGGTCCGCAAGTTCAACTAGCTACTTTAACCTTCGTTCATGTAAATATGCAAGCTTGAAGTGATTTTGAGCTTAAATTGCTTACAAATGAAAAAAACCACAATAAAGAACCATATATATATAGTGAATAAAATGAGATAAGACAATGGTGAAAAATGAGAGTATGAGATTGGTAACCATTACAACTGAAGAATCGACGGAGGAATCGAAGAAATCGACGGAGGAATCGAAGAATGGATGGAGGAACAATGGAGGGAGGAAGCAAGAACACTAGTGCAGTGAGCTTCAAAATGTGCTGAGCTCGGGCTCGGGGAGGAAGAAGGAGACGGCCGGGATATAAAGGGGGACCTTTAGTCCCGGTTGGTGGCTCCAACCAGGACAAAAGGTCCCTCCCAACGGTTACTACACCAGACAAAGGTGGCAGGGACCTTTAGTCCCGGTTGGAGCCACCAACCGGGACTAAAAGGCTTAGTCCCGGTTGGTGGCTCCAACCGGGACTAAAGGTCCCTGCCACCTCTGTCTGGCGCAGTAGTCGTTGGGAGGGACCTTTAGTCTCGGTTGGAGCCACCAACCGGGACTAAAGGTATCTCTGGTCCCGGGCGTAAAAAATGCCGGGACTAGAGCCCATTTTATCCGAGGATCAAAGGTCTATTCTCTACTAGTGATTGCTAGTCTAGAGGAGTTAGGCTTGTGATAAACTAGTCAGTTGTCCCTGTGAATTGGAGTCTTCACCCGAAGATCGGAGTTGTCTTTCCGCTGTTTGCTGTCTAAGGTTATATCCTTTATACTAAATACGCTATATATTGAGTATTGTCTTTTAATATTACTCTTATATATAGTTATATGTAAGATTTGACTTTTTAGGCTCACATATGGTGTGTATCTGATTTTGTTCTTAAAACCGGGTGGTATACTCTTCATCGAGGCTTCACTAACAAAAAGTACTGAACCAATTTCCTCTTACTATTCTAACGTCATATGGTTGAATCTTGGCGCTTGAATGTAACCGTAACAAGATGGGACGGCAGCGTTGAAAACTCATATGCAAACGTGAGCAGAGCAAACTATAGCTTTCGAGGGCCGGACCAAATTTCTGCTTGTATTATAAATATAACTCCTCACGTGCCACCGTTTCATCATATAACTAGCTAGCTCGCCAACCATTTCAAGCTAGATCGCGTTTTCAGCAAGCGCCCATAGCTTTCGAGGCTGCTTCACCTGGGGCGTGCGCCATTACGTGTAATTGAGCTGCGGGATATGGAGTCTTTGACGACGGAGAGCAACAACAATGGCGATGGAGGCTTCTTCTTGGCAAGCTGCCGGGAGCATCTCTGCTCGGCGCTGGACAGGCTCAGGTGCACGGTCGTCGGGTTCGTCGGGAAGCTAGCCAAGATCGCCCGCGACGACCCCCGGCGGGTGGCGCACTCGCTCAAGGTCGGGCTGGCGCTGACGCTGGTGTCCGTGTTTTACTACGTCACGCCGCTGTTCAATGGCTGGGGAGACTCCGTCATATGGGCCGTGATCACTGTCGTCGTCGTCATGGAATTCACAGTTGGTATGGATCCACGTGCGATTTTGTATATATAATATATATATACATATATATATGTAGAGACACGCTAGCTGTTGTTCATGCATAGAGGTAATAACGTGCGTGTAAACATGCATGTGTTGCATGCGGATCTTGCGGCAACAGGGGGAACGCTGAGTAGAGGACTGAACAGAACTTTTGCGACGTTGGTAGCCGTCTTCCTCGCCGTCGGAGCTCATATGGTGGCGAACCTTTGTGGGGAAAATGGAGAGCCGATACTGCTCAGCGTGTTCGTCTTCTTAGTAGGTACGTATGCTGCCGGTCCATCCATGTTTGCTACTACTAACTGCATCGTCCCGGCCGGCATGCTACTTTTCAGTTGTTTTTTTTGTTAGTTACTAGTATTATTATAAAACTCATGTTTCAAACCTCAAACTAATAAACTAACTTTTTTATATTTTGCATGTGCTCTCTAATATCATACACATTCAGACACTGATAATATCTCATGCTATGGTAAACTTATCGATTAATCTCTACTTTTTTCCATCCATATGTCATGGCTACTCTTGGTCGACAATTGTATCTCTTCCAATATTTACGATGTTGAATCTTCTTAGCTAGCAAAGAATTACAAGTAGCTTTAATTTATTTTATTAAAAAGAACAGAATGCCTACAACTATACGCACTATCATTATGGATGTCACATAATGATGATTCAGCCAAAATTTTAAATTATTGTCAAGGATATCAATATTTTAAATGATTCAGCCAAAATTTTAAACTATTTTAAATTCTAAATTATACATTTTGTTAGTGTGATTGGTATATAAGTTGTTAATGGAACATTCTTCATGATTACTCAAACATAAATTTATATTTATCTCTTGTGCATGTATTTGTACTTTATCTATATGATGACACAACATGTATGTTTATTTTATGACACTATGTGTGTGTAAACATAACATATCGTTATTCTAAGCATTTTCATTCTAGCAAACGTTTGTAATTTAAATATGCATTTTAGGAATATTTTAGTTTAATTTTGATAATGGTAGAAGTGGTGGTTTATATGGGTTACTTAGATCATCCATCATAATGGCGAGGCGAGTAATTTTGATACAAATTTAGGTGTTTGCTTTAATTATATTATATGTTAAAATGACATATGTCGGTAATTTAGATGCTATAAGGATTATTTTATGTTGTTTTTTAAAAGGCAGGAGTTGGCAAGTTAAAGGAACAGGATATATTCAATGGCTCTTATATCAATAATATTAGCATCCCAAATTAATCGCTAGATTTTCCTTATTTTGTATTGAATTTCTATTATTTTTTTCGAGCAAGTTTTGTAAGGATTAATATCCAAATTGTAATAGTAAGCTAAAGATGTGGCCAGCATTCTTTTCTTCCCAAATGTTTCCGTGCAAGGTACAAGTCTGCAAAATGTTTCATGCATGCCACGGCAAAACTACTCCGTCAGTCCCGGAATTGCCATCCCATCCCACCTGTGTTTATTGTGCTTACAGGATTTCGAAGTGTTTCATCGTGTTGGCTCGATCTGCAGGGTCAGCAGCGACGTTTTCGCGGTTCATCCCGGAGCTGAAGGCGAGGTACGACTACGGCGTGATGATTTTCATACTGACCTTCACCATGGTGGCTGTGTCGAGCTACCGCGTGGACGAGCTCCTGGAGTTCGCGCACGAGCGGGTCACCACCATCGCCGTCGGCGTCGCCATCTGCCTCTTCACCACCCTCTTCATTTTCCCGATCTGGGCCGGGGAGGACCTCCACAAGCTCGCCGCTGGCAGCCTCGACAAACTGGCGGAGTTCCTTGAAGGTACGACCTGGGAAACTTAGGTACTAAATGCTTGTACGGCTAATCCTCTAACCAAATTAAACCGAACATGCTCAACTAAAATTTCTACGGCAAAGATATTCATACTACTTTTCGTAATGCAACTTATTGTCCTTCCAAGTATACGTAGACGCCTGCTAGTCAAAACAAAAACCTGTTTATTTTCACTCTCCCAGGACAACTCTACATCAGGTAGTCATACATACATGTTATCTGTACGAACTAGTATTAGGTTGCAGTGCCTTCACCATTTACAGCTGAAAGTTGGACAAAAGAAACTGAAAAAAAAAAAAGTTTGCAGATTCCAGAGTACTATATGAGACTAAAGTTTCTCATGTGTGCAGGAATGGAATCTGAATGCTTTAGGGAGAACTCTCCATGTGAAAATTTGGAAGGCAAAGCCTTTCTTCAGGTGTACAAGGCCGTCCACAATTCGAAGGTCAGAGAAGATTCTTTGGTAAGCTATTCTCACTTTGGGGATTGTCAGTTCCCTTTCCCTTTTGTTGAGTACAAACCTCCTTCCTGCGTAAACAAAAATCAAAGAATCTATTCCAATTGTATGTATCATCCGAACACTGCAGTGCACCTTTGCTAAGTGGGAGCCTATTCACGGGAAATTCCGTTTCCGCCACCCGTGGAGCCAATATCAAAAGCTCGGCGCTCTTTGTCGCCAGTGCGCTTCTTCAATGGAGGCTCTTGCGTCGTGTGTCGTAGTCCTGAAAAAGTCTCAGGTGATCGCAAAGTATCCCAGTTTCATGATCGAATTTGAGGTCCATGGAACTGATTACTTTCTGGACTTGTTTGTTTAAAAAAAATGATATATCCTCCTTATCTTTGGTTACAGTATCCTGAAGCCAATCCAGAGCTATGCCTGAAAATTAGAGCTACATGTGGTGCAATGAGCTTGCACTCTGCAAAGGCGCTCAGAGGGCTCTCGTTGGCAGTTCGGACTATGACTCTACCATGTCAAACCAACGACATGTCTACAGCCACCAAAGCTGCAAGTGACTTCAGAACCCAGTTATCAGAGGATGCGGCTCTGTTGCAAGTGATGCATGCAGCAGTCGTTGCATCTCTTCTCTCCGACGTAGTTATTCAGATCGAGAGAATTACAGAATCTACTAGCAAGCTAGCACAGCTTGCCCGCTTCACAAACCCGGAAAGGACTCAAAGTGCTGTGGTTATCCACATAGAGGATTGATAGGCACAACTAATACTCCCGTTCTAAATTATAAATTATTTTAGTTTTGTTATATCAAAGTCAAACTTGTCTAACTATAACTAAGTTTATAGAAAAATATATTAACAAATGCAATATCAAATAAATACACACTATCAAAATATATTTCATAGTGTATCTAATGGATACTGTAGATGTTTGTGTATTTTTCTATAAACTTAACCAAAAATAGATAAGTTTGACTTACAATAAAACTAAACTATCTTATATATAGCTTGAAATAGAGGGAGTATCTTGTTACAAACTTGGATAGTTGGATACATGTTTATCCATTATCAGAGTATACATCTTCTCTGGTTCCACTTCCAAATCAGACTATTTAGCTGGTCTGGACTAATAAGAGTTGCGAAGACGTACATACATAGGTAAGAATAGAAATAATAAAAAGTAGTATTTCATATGATTTTGTAATGAAACATGTAATCTTATTTGATGACTTGCATATATATGTATCATGAGGGCTGATTTGAGAATCTAAATTGTCATTGGATATGCAAATTAGGTATGATCTACCCTTTGCAAATACTTTTGATGATTATGCTAGCACAAGCAGCAACAGTTCTCTCGATACTTTTTTTGCGAGGAAGCAGATCACATATACTATGTCATATCTTGATTCAATCATTGAAAATTGGCTATGGAAAATTCTCTCTTCATCAAAGTAGTACATGATTATTAATTCTCATGCAAATACCTTGCAACAAGCTATGATTGTTTGGTCTGAATATGGCACTGGTACATCACAACGACTGATATTCTTAGGTGTTCGTGCATGTCACTTATATATTGCTATATGTTTGTGAATTGACGGTGGCAAAGGTTTGATCAAGAAAATATTTGTTTCCAAGATAAAGAATATGACAAGAACCTAACAAAGTGGTATGTTAAACCTTGGATTAAGGACATGACAGTCCGGCTAACCCACCAACTGATTCTCCTAATCATCCAGGGGCTCGGGGCTGCACCTGTCGTGTACGCTCGCGCGTACACTCCGAGCCATTCTTCACTCAAGAGGCTTGTGGACTCAGCCAAGTGAAAGGTCCTAATATGGCTAGAAGGGGGTGAATAGCCTATTTAAAAATCTACAAATCAATTAGAGCAATTTGATTAGTATGATAAATAACGAAAAGCAAACTTGCTCTAGCTCTACAAGGGTTGCAAGCCACCTATCCAATAATTCTAGTTACTATGATCACTAGACACAATTTGCTAAATCACTACTCACTAAGAGCTCTCACACTTGCTACTCTAAAGAGCTTCACTAGATGGACTTAAGTTACAAAGTAAACTCTCAATTCTAGCTACACTAAAGAGTTTGTCACAACTAGTTTGCGGGAATGTAAATGAGTAAGTAAGGTGATTATACCATCGCGTAGAGGAATGAACCAATCACAAGATGAATAATAATTCAATCACCGGGAGAATACCAAAGGGCAAGAGACAACCAATTTTCTCCCGAGATTCACGTGCTTGCCAACACGCTACGTCCCCGTTGTGTCGACCAACACTTGGTGGTTCGGCGGCTAAGAGGTGTTACACGAACCTCGTCCACACAATTGGACACCGCAAGAACCTACCCACAAGTGAGGTAACTCAATGACATGAGCAATCCACTAGGGTTATCTTTTGGCGCTCCACCAGGGAAGGTACAAGTCCCCTCACAATTACCGGGAGATGGCCACGAATAATCACCAACTCGTGCCAATTCTCCCCCGCTGCTCCAAGCCATCTAGGTGATGGAAACCACCAAGAGCAACAAGCGAATCCTGCAGCAAAACACGAACACCAAGTGCCTCTAGATGCAATCACTCAAGCAATGCACTTGTATTCTCTCCTAATCTCACAAAGATAATGAATCCATGATGGAGATGAGTGGGAGGGCTTTGGTTAAGCTCACAAGGTTACTATGTCAATACAAAATGGCCAAGAGGGTGAGCTTGAGCCGGCCATGGGGCTTCAATAGAAGCCCCCCATGAAATACAGTCGTTGGCTCTCTGTTCTCTAAAAAGTCAGGGTGACCGGACGCACCGGTCAGATCGACCGGGTGCAGGACCCCAGCGTCCGATCGTGCGATGCACGCCACGTGTCCCCTACTTTAAACATTGATCGCTCGATCTCAACGGTCATCAGCACATTTAAGTTGTGACCGGACGTGCTGCTCAAAGTGACCAGACACAGGACCCCATCGTCTAGTCGTTTCTAGTAAGGTTTCACTCATGACCGGACGTGCCCGGTCACCACCAACTGGACTCGCCCAGCGTCCGATCACTCACTATCTTCTCTGTGCGCCGCCACATTAGCACGACCGGACGCTGAACAGTGCTTAGCCAGAGTCTGGCCGCCTACGTCTGGTCAAGAGACTGAGGGCAGCCTTTACTGCATGACACTGACCGGACGCAGGACCCCAGTGTCCGGTCACTGCGTGACCAGCATTCGGTGCACTTTGTGAAACCCTGTCTTTTCTATATAGGGTGCCGGTGGCACCGTCGGACACTCCGCCGATGAAGTTTCAAACCCTTGCTCCCAAGTGCTAAACACAATGTGTATCACCTTTGTGCATGTGTGTTAGCATATTTTCACAAATATTTTCAAGGGTGTTAGCACTCCACTAGATCCTAAATGCATATGCAATGAGTTAGAGCATCTAGTGGCACTTTGATAACCGCATTTTGATACAAGTTTAACTTCTCTTAATGGTACGGCTGTCAATCCTAAATGTGATCACACTCTCTAAGTGTCTTGATCACTAAACCAAAAAGCTCCTATCAATTTCACCTTTGCCTTCAGCTTTTTGTTTTTCTCTTTCTTCTTTTCCAAGTTCAAGCACTTGATCGTCACCATGGCATCAACATCGTCATGTCATGATCTTCATTTGCTTCACCACTTGGAGTAGTGCTACCTATCTCATAATCACTTTGATAAACTAGATTAGCACTTTGGGTTTCATCAATTCACCAAAACCAAACTAGAGCTTTCACCAAGGCGTGGGGATTTCCTAACCCATGGGAGCCCCGTCTAAGCATAAGGCCCCACACTTTCCCCAGCCTTAGCTCAGGTGGAGCACGTGCACCCCAAGCAATGCAGGAAACCAATCCCGGAATCTGTCAGGCAATGAAAGCCTGACAACCGCAAAGCAACAGAAGCGCTAGGCCACCATCCTGTTTCATAGCCACAAGGCGTTCTCTCCCTTGGTAGGGTCACACCATGTGACGAGTCAGGACAAGGAACTCCCCGAAGCCCCAAAGTGGGGGGCTCTGAACCCGCTGAGCATCCCCTCTGGGTAGGGGGAGAAGCCTTGTGTGCCATGGAAGATAGGAGAAGGCTCACCCAGAGAAGGCATCATTGCGGCAGACAACACCTAGGGGTCAACACCAGGCTACTGCAGTGGTGTTAGGGGCTGGTTGCGACTTTGTCGACCCCCATCTACAAGACAAAGAAGGACCAATGGCGCAAAGGTGAAGAAGACCAAAGCATAGGGCAAGAAACCCTAGGTGAAACCAATCGCTTTGTACCCCCATCGCCTCCCCAATATATAAGGAAAGGCATGGCTCCTGTAGAGGGCCAGGATCGAAAGATCGAACAACAAAATGATCGATCGAACCCGAGCTAAATCTAGATTAGCATAGTGCTTCCCTCTACACCTCACTCTCTTGATTCTGCCATTGTAAGAACTCTTGATTGAGCATTCCTAACATGAAGAACACCACTACTGGACGTAGGGCTTAGATGCCCAAACTATGATAAACCCTTGTGTTTTGAGTGCTTAAGACTAGAGGTTCACACATCAACCCACGTCAAGCAACCCGATCACTATCGCGGTTATGAACCCATGACAGAAGGGAAGCTCATATAAGTGAAGAAGAGGTTATGATGATTAGGATTGGAACCAAAATCCAAATGAGGATGTGGAAGGTGATGATGAGGAAATGGATGTATCTAGATACAATGGGATTGTCAAGGCATGGAAATTTGACATTTATTAGAGGTTGAGAAGCCCATATTAGGATGCCTTGGACAATGATGCTGACTTGTCATACTTCCATACCAAGGTACATGAAGATGCATATTTTGGATACATTTGTTCTGGCACAATTCGTCAACATCGATACATCAATATATGTCATATATGATGGATAACAAGAGCTTGGTTGCAAATTTACATGCTATGGGACTATATGATTTTCTTGATCATAAAGGTAATTGGAATGACTTGATTGTTAGGCAATTCTAAGCCACAATGGAAACTGACACTATGAATGACAAAATTGAGTGGATGACTAGCAAAAGAAGATATTCTTGCACCTTTGATGAGTTTGCTACAATTAATTAGTTAGACAATAATTTCTTTGCAAAATCTATTATCTTGATGAGGAAGATAATTTGTCCATAGAGCAGAGAAGGTAGTTTTATGAGCCTGAGCGCACTCAGATACCTATCAAAGTTGGTGGCCTGAAAGGATTGAGGCACCATCCAGCAGTGATCAATAAAATTGTAAAAGTGACATTCATGCCAAAAGTAGGAGATAGAGGTGAGATTAGAGACAAATATTGGAATGTCATACACCATATTATGTATCGCCAGAAGTTCGATGTGGTGAGATTCATGATGAATCAGTTGGCAATTCTGAAGCATGACATGACAACCAATCTTTACTTTTATCCTTATGTCATGTCCCTCATTCTTCAGAAGACAAAATTTAAAGGGGTGTTGGTATTTCTTAACGCAAACATAAATAATCCACATGTGCATAGAAGTATTGTTGTAGCATTTCACCCGGAAGTATTTAGGGTATCGTATTTTTCATGAGGAATGGAGGTAAATCTTCTATCTAATTCGTCCAAGGACAACACAAGGATAGAGTTGGTAGATGGTAGAAAGGATTCCTATGGTTTAGAGTCTAAGGATAGATAAAATCTACTATTATTTGCTTACTTTGGACACCGGAGCGCATCTGGTCTGCC